GGAATAACGCAGTGACTCTCCTGATAAACTGGGAAATCCTGTGTGTATCACAAACAAGAAGTATGAATGTTTGTTAAATTTCATGATCTAATAGTAGACAACAAAGTGTGCTCGAATGATTTCTCAGCAAGTAACATTGCACACTTATGTACTACATCGTATTGGAGACAATTCTGAATTGTTTTTTAAAATATTATTCGAAATCCACTGCGGAATTTCCCTTTATTATTTCAACAGAAAATGATCTTAACATAGCGGAGGACATTATATTCATATAATACCTCAAAATTTCTAAATATTCTCAATGATACTCAAATGAAGAAGATACAGCTAATGGGAACTACATTTAGGCGTTGCCTACATCTGCAGATGCCTACATTGACTGCTAAAGTTTTTTAAGGTATAGTGAAACTGTCAGCTGCTGTAAACACGCATAAATGGTATGATAGAAATCTTTCCTCGAATGAATACTTCTCATTGACTATTAAATCCGTCTTGTAATTACCTTATTGAGATTCATTTAGTAAACTGGTTGCTCCGATATAGGAAAAGAAATTAATCACTGAGATTTAGTATAATTCCGTAATACAGTAATTTTATTATTAATATTATTGTTTCCTTTAATTCCTAGAAGAACATTGGGCTTCATCCGCGAGTCTCCATTCCCTTCGGTTCTCTGCTACAGTCTTCACCTGGCTCCATGTCTGCCCACACGTTTTCATCTCCTCTTCACATGACCTCCTCCAAGTCACCCTTGCACTGACGACCAACTCGCCGCTTCCCTTTCCGGTTCCACTCGAGCGATGGCCAGTATAGTGATGTCACTCACTTGATGGTTTCCTCAGAGTATGGCCAGCCAGTCCATCTCCATTTCTTCCTGCCTATTTCTTTCACAATCGGTTCCTGCTGTGTTGGTTCTCTCCCAGAGATCTCTGTTGCTGATCTTTTCTGGCCAGCCATCTGATCTTGAGTATTGAGCGAAGACAACTGTTGATGAAGGTCTGTAGTTTGTTTGAGATCCTCTTTATGATGCACAGTGCAAGTCTCTGATCCGTACAGTAGCACTAACTGAATTTACATTGGAGTTGAAAATCCGGATCTTATTTTTGATGCTGAGTGTTGTTGACATCCACACAGACTTGAGAGTAGTGAAAGCTTGTCTTGCTTTTCCGATTCTTGCTTTGATATCCTCGTCAGTTCCGTCTGCCTGTAGTTGGAACGATGCTTCCCAGGTAGGTAAAGGAGGTTGTTTATTTCAGGTTCCTCCCATTTATGCTGGCTGATTGTTGTCTGTTGTTGCTGCTTTAGGCCAGGAATCTTCATCACCTCTGTTTTCTCTATGTTCACCTGAAGTCCTATCTTTGAAGCTTCTTCTGCCAACTTGTTGCTTTTCGCTTGCATATCTTCCAGTAATTTTATTTCATATAATTTATGTTGCTAAATAGAGCATTACTTAATGATCTATAAGTTATAATCATATCAAGGAATATGAATTCAAATTTCTGTAGCGAAGACTTACCACGTATACACAGAAGAGGTTAAGTGATGTTTTTAGTCTGACGAAAATTACGGTCTCACAAACATACGCTTACTTTTACATTTAAGTAGCTATATAGTATTTGAAAAACGTTTCTCGAATAATGTACTCTGTCCAAAACAACTATTGTGTATTATGAGGAGGTTCATTCAAAATAGGTTAGTATTCATCTAAATTAGAATCTAGCATTAATTTGGCTCAATTTCAAGGTACATGATTCCGAAAACCATTGAGAACAAATGTGAATATGTGTTTCGTCCTAGTTTGGAACGTGTCAGCAATATGCCTCACACCAGGGAACCTGATCTAACTTTAAATCAACCAAATTCCAACAAACAAAACTTGAAAACTGGTCTCATGCACACTCGTGACTAATTACAGGATGAATCTCCTGGAGTTATGCTTAGAAGTGATGACCTGTGGGGTTCATCCAATCGGGTTTGAGGACAAGTACTTGCTGATGACGTTGGCTGCAGGTAGTACTACATATAACATACTGGCAGATATTAGAATTCATGGGCTATTGGATTACCTCCTAGAGTCATGAAGGTTCTAGATTCTATCTTTACTAGTGTCATGAGTGCGTACTGCTGAAAAGTTTCGAACTAGGATGAAACAGCTCTCTAGTGCTTCCTGCTTCTCTGACTGATTTCATTTCATGATCTGAAATGAAATCAGTCCAATTCCTGCATAAGCACACCTGAAAATTAATCCATTTTGTTAGGAACGTTTATTATAACAGGAAAATGTAAGGGAACCAAAAAGTTTTTCTTCATAACGTAATACACTACACATGCATTTTGCTTATTGAAAAACATCTACTATGTCTAATGCAAAGTATTAGCCCATAGTTCATTCACATGTATCATTATGGATGACAAGTTTTCAGGAAGTAGTAAAAAAGAAAAAAAACAGCTGCTTAGTAATATTAGTGACAGATATTTTTATTTTATTTCTTTACATCCTTATGGGAACGTGAGGCCTCAATTTCGCGCTTTGAAGCTTCATTAGCAGTGGTGAATTTTACGGCGTGGAGTTGCTCACCTCACACTCAACCTTCCCTTTTTATCGGGTTTACAACTGGCTATGGGGATTCAGTGCTACTATACGGATCAGAGACTTGAAGAGTCATAAAGAGCACGTCAAACAAACTACAGACCTTTATTAACAGCTGTCTTCGCTCAATACTACTCAAGATCAGATGGCCGGACAGAAAAGATCAGCAGTAGGGACCTGAGGGAGCAAACTGACCAGGAACCGATTGCGCAACAAATAAGCAGGAAGAAATGGAGATGGATTGGCCATACTCTGAGGAAACCATTAAGTGACATCACACTACATGCCATTGCTCGAGTGGAACCGGAAAGGGAAGCGGCGAGTTGGTCGTCAGTGCAAGGGTGACTTGGAGGAGGTCATGTGAAGAGGAGATGAAAGCATGTAGGCAGACATGGAGCCAGGTGAAGACTCTAGCAGAGAACCGAACGCAATGGAGACTCGCGGCTGAATCCCTATGTTCCCCTAGGAATTAAAGGAAATAATAATGATATGGGGGAGCAAGGATATGCACCGGCCGGGAATGGAACCTCGAGCCGCGTTTCATGGTTGTCAAGTATTCTACCGTTGAACCACCGACGCACTGCTTACCAATAATTAGTGTTTGACAGTTCTTTAATTGGTTATGACCAGTGAGAAAGCCTATTTCCAAATAAGTTTCTCTAAGATTTAACATAAAAACTGTATATACGAGATAAATTAGGTAAGTAGAATCACTTATTTATCAACCGAAATGATAAATGCATTTTATTGAGAAATGACAAAACCAGAAAAAAATGAAGACAACTACAAACCGACTCCTCAGTGGCCGAATGATGTAGTGTTTGTTATAGTACCTGATGATACTACATGATGTAGCTACTGTCTACCTCTGTAAAGCCTCGAAAAGCGATGAAACCAATGAACTGTGTTTAATAAAGAGGAGATGAATGTTACTAAATAAAAAAAGTAATAAGTCTAGAGACAATTTCTTAACAGATTTCTAAGTTCAAAGTGTATTTGACGATCCCTCAAGACCGTGGGGAAAAGGAAACAACGAAAGCGGCGTCGCTCATTTGATATGCTTAAATTCCACACGTTTTGAAGTCACTAACTTCTTTTACAAAAATAAATTTTAACATTTTGCAGTCAATTAACGCATTATTTTCAAATACCTGAAATGATTTCAAGTTTGAACAGGGATCTATAGCAGTGAGAGAACCATTGGGAACTAGGTAGTATTGGATTGCTTTTTCATCCTTGTTTCGGACTCACCGGCATTACTCACCCATTGGGGTTTGAACTCAGGACCTTTTGGTTACCATGCATCCTCGTACAGCATTCATAGGCTCCAGTGGCCGAATGGTCTACGAGATTGCCTTGCAACTGGAAGGTCATGGGTTCAAACCCCAATGGGTGAGTAATGCAGGAGAGTAACAAACAACAATGAAACAGCCGTCCAGTACTCCGTACTTTCCAATGGTACCATAAGTGATATCATTCTGTGGTCAAACTTGCAACAGTTCGAATCCCTACAAGCTAATATGTGATAATTGTGCCAAAAAATAATATGCTGTAAAGAAACAACTTTACTGTTTTAGTTTATTGGATGCTGAATAAAAAACCTGTAGTATTCGTGTTCTTATACACCCTTGCAATTAAATGCAAATTATAGCCCTATATAAGTTGCCATAGCAACAAGGACATTCAAACTCTCGAAACAAAAAAGGTTAATAGTCCATGTGGCTCTAGACACTTTACATTTTCAGTGATAAGTCAAAATATTGAAGGTGAGCTTAGTCTAATTTTATAATGAGCAACCCAACTTTATATTTGATGTTTTAGATAATGATGAATGACAGTGGAATCCAAGATTCTCACTTCGTCCTATTTAGGAGTCGTCAGAGGGATGGATCTGGCGTATATTGAGGAGGCCATTGGAGCAATGCAGGCCAGCACTTGAGTGGAATCCCAATTGTAATCGACGAGTGGATCGTCAGTCCGAGGGTGACATGGACGAGGTCGTGCGAGGAGGAGATGAGAGATTATGGTCAGTCGTGGACCCAGCTGAAGGGGACAGCAAAGAAGAGAATAAAGTGAAGATGTGTTGTTAAAGCCTTATGTTCCACTCAGAACCCAAGCGAATATTAATAATAGAGGGATGTACCTGCTCACTCAGTGAGCAACAGTGTTCCGACTGGCGTTTGAAATAATCGGCCTAGGGTTCAAGTGTCAACCAAAATAATCCCTCACCCCCACGCCAATACCTGACTACATACACCAAAGATAAAATACTAGAAACTCATTTTCCCCAGAAGAATCACATGTTTATTCACAGTTTACAATAATTACATAAATTATAAAGTATACATTCAAAGTACATTTTTAGATGCAAATATATATAATAAATACAATTCCATTGAACACACACTGGCACTAGTTTGAAAGTTTGAAATATTGGAAAATTGAATGATGCAAGTGAAGAACTAACTAGAATACAACAGAAGTAGTTTCAATTCAATAGTTGTTGTGTTTTTTTGTTATTGTTGTTCTGTTTAAAAAGGTACATACGATAACAACTAAAGAATCTGGCAGCAAAATTAAATTTGATCAGACTTCGTTCTCGTCCATGAAAAGCAAAATAACGAAAACTACTATGTTACTATCAACGATAGGCAACAGAAAATGTGACTTTTATCAAACTTAAGTAAATAAGAGTGATAAAAGTATTAGCTGTTTACAAATGCTTAAATTTCAAAACTCATATGTTTGTATATTCGCAGAAAACAACATTAATTGCAGTAGACAGTGTTATATCTATCTAGGCAATAGGCTTACCTAACACTAAACAATGATCAACAATTAAGAAAATGACGCGATTATTAGTTGAAAGAAGGCAAAATTTACTTCAAAGCTTACAGTAATACTAATTTTCGTCTATATACTTCCATGCTTTTGAATTTATACTAGGCTTCCTCATTGTTTTATCAGAATAATCTTGTGTTATTTCATTGTTACCGATTGAATTAGCATTGACCACTGAAGGAGAGTTTATGCATCGTTCTGCTCTATCATTATCATATACAGCAACGTGTTGTTCATCATGATTCAAATGTCCAGCATTATCACTGCTATCAGCACTTTGTCTACGCCATGCGCCGACTAATACAACATCCTTGTCTGGATTCGCTGTTAAGCATAAATGTTCAGGACTCGCGGATCGTAAATTGAACCCACAATCACACGGTTTATTATCACCAGTAGATAGTAGAGCTTCTTGAGCTAACAACTTAGCTCTTTCGTGTTGTTTCCTACGCAGTTCAAGACGTTTTTGTAATGCTGGTGTTACTTTCAGCCTAGATGTTGAATTCTGGTCTTCTTCGTTGACAAGTTGTTCTTCTGTTGCAAACGCTTCATGTTTGATTCTTTTCGTTTTATATTTATGTCTTGATAACCTTGAAGTCGACGTATCATTATCATTTTCTTCAATGTGTGTTAAAGTAATAGTTCCAGAGTATTTACTACGTCGATGACGCATCCAGACGAGAAACAGGATCACTGATAAGATTAACATGATCATTAGGATACACAACAAAATAAAACCCATTGTAAAGCCTTGTTTAAATTCAAGTTTATTGCTTTGAGCTACATTTACAATATTCATACGAATATTGTTTTTCACATTATAGCTGGAAGTTGTAGTGACCGGTGGGGCAGTAGAAATTTTATTAACATGCAAACTATCACTGTACTGAAAATCTTCATCATCTACAATTTTAAGGATACCAGACAACGGATCTTGAGTTGACTTCATATTATTAATGCCATCAGGATATATTGACGACGGAGACGAAGTGGTGGAGGCAAGATGTACATCGGTTGAAGGATCAGTAACATCAGCAGCAGTCACAATAGGAAAAGCGCCCATCGAGGAAACAGATGCAGACGACTGGAACTCACTTGAGTAAACTGACTGCGAAACAGTTGACGGAAAAGCAGAAGACGAAAGAGAAAAATCACCAGCGGGAGTAACGAAAATTGAGGGAGAAGAAGAAACATCGTCGAAGACAGGAACAGTTATATCAGATAAAGCCAACTGAGAGGAAGATGCCTCAGAACGAATGACCGAAGAAGATACATACGCGACAGAATCCGTATATTCAAAAGAAGTATCATCCCAAGAAGGAGACGAAGAGGCCGAAGAAACTTCCTCTGACACAGGTGTCTCTCCTCCACTCACATCCAAACTCACAGACACGTCAGCCGATTCCGATGGAGCAGGCACAGATACTTCCTCTGACACAGGTGTCTCTCCTCCACTCACATCCAAACTCACAGACACGTCAGCCGATTCCGATGGAGCAGGCACAGATACTTCCTCTGACACAGGTGTCTCTCCTCCACTCACATCCAAACTCACAGACACGTCAGCCGATTCCGATGGAGCAGGCACAGATACTTCCTCTGACACAGGTGTCTCTCCTCCACTCACATTCAAACTCACAGACACGTCAGCCGATTCCGATGGAGCGGGCACAGATACTTCCTCTGACACAGGTGTCTCTCCTCCACTCACATCCAAACTCACAGACACGTCAGCCGATTCCGATGGAGCAGGCACAGATACTTCCTCTGACACAGGTGTCTCTCCTCCACTCACATCCAAACTCACAGACACGTCAGCCGATTCCGATGGAGCAGGCACAGATACTTCCTCTGACACAGGTGTCTCTCCTCCACTCACATCCAAACTCACAGACACGTCAGCCGATTCCGATGGAGCAGGCACAGATACTTCCTCTGACACAGGTGTCTCTCCTCCACTCACATCCAAACTCACAGACACGTCAGCCGATTCCGATGGAGCAGGCACAGATACTTCCTCTGACACAGGTGTCTCTCCTCCACTCACATCCAAACTCACAGACACGTCAGCCGATTCCGATGGAGCAGGCACAGATACTTCCTCTGACACAGGTGTCTCTCCTCCACTCACATCCAAACTCACAGACACGTCAGCCGATTCCGATGGAGCAGGCACAGATACTTCCTCTGACACAGGTGTCTCTCCTCCACTCACATCCAAACTCACAGACACGTCAGCCGATTCCGATGGAGCAGGCACAGATACTTCCTCTGACACAGGTGTCTCTCCTCCACTCACATCCAAACTCACAGACACGTCAGCCGATTCCGATGGAGCAGGCACAGATACTTCCTCTGACACAGGTGTCTCTCCTCCACTCACATCCAAACTCACAGACACGTCAGCCGATTCCGATGGAGCAGGCACAGATACTTCCTCTGACACAGGTGTCTCTCCTCCACTCACATCCAAACTCACAGACACGTCAGCCGATTCCGATGGAGCAGGCACAGATACTTCCTCTGACACAGGTGTCTCTCCTCCACTCACATCCAAACTCACAGACACGTCAGCCGATTCCGATGGAGCAGGCACAGATACTTCCTCTGACACAGGTGTCTCTCCTCCACTCACATCCAAACTCACAGACACGTCAGCCGATTCCGATGGAGCAGGCACAGATACTTCCTCTGACACAGGTGTCTCTCCTCCACTCACATCCAAACTCACAGACACGTCAGCCGATTCCGATGGAGCAGGCACAGATACTTCCTCTGACACAGGTGTCTCTCCTCCACTCACATCCAAACTCACAGACACGTCAGCCGATTCCGATGGAGCAGGCACAGATACTTCCTCTGACACAGGTGTCTCTCCTCCACTCACATCCAAACTCACAGACACGTCAGCCGATTCCGATGGAGCAGGCACAGATACTTCCTCTGACACAGGTGTCTCTCCTCCACTCACATCCAAACTCACAGACACGTCAGCCGATTCCGATGGAGCAGGCACAGATACTTCCTCTGACACAGGTGTCTCTCCTCCACTCACATCCAAACTCACAGACACGTCAGCCGATTCCGATGGAGCAGGCACAGATACTTCCTCTGACACAGGTGTCTCTCCTCCACTCACATCCAAACTCACAGACACGTCAGCCGATTCCGATGGAGCAGGCACAGATACTTCCTCTGACACAGGTGTCTCTCCTCCACTCACATCCAAACTCACAGACACGTCAGCCGATTCCGATGGAGCAGGCACAGATACTTCCTCTGACACAGGTGTCTCTCCTCCACTCACATCCAAACTCACAGACACGTCAGCCGATTCCGATGGAGCAGGCACAGATACTTCCTCTGACACAGGTGTCTCTCCTCCACTCACATCCAAACTCACAGACACGTCAGCCGATTCCGATGGAGCAGGCACAGATACTTCCTCTGACACAGGTGTCTCTCCTCCACTCACATCCAAACTCACAGACACGTCAGCCGATTCCGATGGAGCAGGCACAGATACTTCCTCTGACACAGGTGTCTCTCCTCCACTCACATCCAAACTCACAGACACGTCAGCCGATTCCGATGGAGCAGGCACAGATACTTCCTCTGACACAGGTGTCTCTCCTCCACTCACATCCAAACTCACAGACACGTCAGCCGATTCCGATGGAGCAGGCACAGATACTTCCTCTGACACAGGTGTCTCTCCTCCACTCACATCCAAACTCACAGACACGTCAGCCGATTCCGATGGAGCAGGCACAGATACTTCCTCTGACACAGGTGTCTCTCCTCCACTCACATCCAAACTCACAGACACGTCAGCCGATTCCGATGGAGCAGGCACAGATACTTCCTCTGACACAGGTGTCTCTCCTCCACTCACATCCAAACTCACAGACACGTCAGCCGATTCCGATGGAGCAGGCACAGATACTTCCTCTGACACAGGTGTCTCTCCTCCACTCACATCCAAACTCACAGACACGTCAGCCGATTCCGATGGAGCAGGCACAGATACTTCCTCTGACACAGGTGTCTCTCCTCCACTCACATCCAAACTCACAGACACGTCAGCCGATTCCGATGGAGCAGGCACAGATACTTCCTCTGACACAGGTGTCTCTCCTCCACTCACATCCAAACTCACAGACACGTCAGCCGATTCCGATGGAGCAGGCACAGATACTTCCTCTGACACAGGTGTCTCTCCTCCACTCACATCCAAACTCACAGACACGTCAGCCGATTCCGATGGAGCAGGCACAGATACTTCCTCTGACACAGGTGTCTCTCCTCCACTCACATCCAAACTCACAGACACGTCAGCCGATTCCGATGGAGCAGGCACAGATACTTCCTCTGACACAGGTGTCTCTCCTCCACTCACATCCAAACTCACAGACACGTCAGCCGATTCCGATGGAGCAGGCACAGATACTTCCTCTGACACAGGTGTCTCTCCTCCACTCACATCCAAACTCACAGACACGTCAGCCGATTCCGATGGAGCAGGCACAGATACTTCCTCTGACACAGGTGTCTCTCCTCCACTCACATCCAAACTCACAGACACGTCAGCCGATTCCGATGGAGCAGGCACAGATACTTCCTCTGACACAGGTGTCTCTCCTCCACTCACATCCAAACTCACAGACACGTCAGCCGATTCCGATGGAGCAGGCACAGATACTTCCTCTGACACAGGTGTCTCTCCTCCACTCACATCCAAACTCACAGACACGTCAGCCGATTCCGATGGAGCAGGCACAGATACTTCCTCTGACACAGGTGTCTCTCCTCCACTCACATCCAAACTCACAGACACGTCAGCCGATTCCGATGGAGCAGGCACAGATACTTCCTCTGACACAGGTGTCTCTCCTCCACTCACATCCAAACTCACAGACACGTCAGCCGATTCCGATGGAGCAGGCACAGATACTTCCTCTGACACAGGTGTCTCTCCTCCACTCACATCCAAACTCACAGACACGTCAGCCGATTCCGATGGAGCAGGCACAGATACTTCCTCTGACACAGGTGTCTCTCCTCCACTCACATCCAAACTCACAGACACGTCAGCCGATTCCGATGGAGCAGGCACAGATACTTCCTCTGACACAGGTGTCTCTCCTCCACTCACATCCAAACTCACAGACACGTCAGCCGATTCCGATGGAGCAGGCACAGATACTTCCTCTGACACAGGTGTCTCTCCTCCACTCACATCCAAACTCACAGACACGTCAGCCGATTCCGATGGAGCAGGCACAGATACTTCCTCTGACACAGGTGTCTCTCCTCCACTCACATCCAAACTCACAGACACGTCAGCCGATTCCGATGGAGCAGGCACAGATACTTCCTCTGACACAGGTGTCTCTCCTCCACTCACATCCAAACTCACAGACACGTCAGCCGATTCCGATGGAGCAGGCACAGATACTTCCTCTGACACAGGTGTCTCTCCTCCACTCACATCCAAACTCACAGACACGTCAGCCGATTCCGATGGAGCAGGCACAGATACTTCCTCTGACACAGGTGTCTCTCCTCCACTCACATCCAAACTCACAGACACGTCAGCCGATTCCGATGGAGCAGGCACAGATACTTCCTCTGACACAGGTGTCTCTCCTCCACTCACATCCAAACTCACAGGCACGTCAGCCGATTCCGATGGAGCAGGCACAGATACTTCCTCTGACACAGGTGTCTCTCCTCCACTCACATCCAAACTCACAGACACGTCAGCCGATTCCGATGGAGCAGGCACAGATACTTCCTCTGACACAGGTGTCTCTCCTCCACTCACATCCAAACTCACAGACACGTCAGCCGATTCCGATGGAGCAGGCACAGATACTTCCTCTGACACAGGTGTCTCTCCTCCACTCACATCCAAACTCACAGACACGTCAGCCGATTCCGATGGAGCAGGCACAGATACTTCCTCTGACACAGGTGTCTCTCCTCCACTCACATCCAAACTCACAGACACGTCAGCCGATTCCGATGGAGCAGGCACAGATACTTCCTCTGACACAGGTGTCTCTCCTCCACTCACATCCAAACTCACAGACACGTCAGCCGATTCCGATGGAGCAGGCACAGATACTTCCTCTGACACAGGTGTCTCTCCTCCACTCACATCCAAACTCACAGACACGTCAGCCGATTCCGATGGAGCAGGCACAGATACTTCCTCTGACACAGGTGTCTCTCCTCCACTCACATCCAAACTCACAGACACGTCAGCCGATTCCGATGGAGCAGGCACAGATACTTCCTCTGACACAGGTGTCTCTCCTCCACTCACATCCAAACTCACAGACACGTCAGCCGATTCCGATGGAGCAGGCACAGATACTTCCTCTGACACAGGTGTCTCTCCTCCACTCACATCCAAACTCACAGACACGTCAGCCGATTCCGATGGAGCAGGCACAGATACTTCCTCTGACACAGGTGTCTCTCCTCCACTCACATCCAAACTCACAGACACGTCAGCCGATTCCGATGGAGCAGGCACAGATACTTCCTCTGACACAGGTGTCTCTCCTCCACTCACATCCAAACTCACAGACACGTCAGCCGATTCCGATGGAGCAGGCACAGATACTTCCTCTGACACAGGTGTCTCTCCTCCACTCACATCCAAACTCACAGACACGTCAGCCGATTCCGATGGAGCAGGCACAGATACTTCCTCTGACACAGGTGTCTCTCCTCCACTCACATCCAAACTCACAGACACGTCAGCCGATTCCGATGGAGCAGGCACAGATACTTCCTCTGACACAGGTGTCTCTCCTCCACTCACATCCAAACTCACAGACACGTCAGCCGATTCCGATGGAGCAGGCACAGATACTTCCTCTGACACAGGTGTCTCTCCTCCACTCACATCCAAACTCACAGACACGTCAGCCGATTCCGATGGAGCAGGCACAGATACTTCCTCTGACACAGGTGTCTCTCCTCCACTCACATCCAAACTCATAGACACGTCAGTCGATTCTGAGTATGGTGGCGTGGATTGTTCCTGTGTTAGTAGTTCATATCCATTATCCAGTGTATTCTTGTTCTCGTCATTTATCTTGGTTATCGTTATTTGATTCTCATTGGTTTCTATAAGTGGCTGCTTTTCTGCATTCCTGTCTATATTTTCAGAATGTTGCTCGTCTAACTCTCTCGTTTGTGGATTTTCTTGTTGTGCTTCTCTAACTTTTTTCAATTTTGTTTGGTGTCTAACATTTACTTGCGCGTTTTTCTCCTGTTCTTCGTATAGTGCTGAATTAATTCCGTCTTCTTTTACTGCGTCTCCATCAATTTCATGATTATCAACGAGGTGCACATCTGTGTATTTTGATTGACTCAGTTGATTATCGCTTCTGTCTGTTAGTGATTCAATAGGAAGATTGTTAATTCCTTGTTCAATAGGATATGTTTGTACTTTTGTCAATAGGCAACAGATTATTATTCCAGTGATAGCCAGTATCATCAGTTTCATTGATTTAAGTTCATTCATTCTATATAATCCATGAATCATTGAAGATACAATTAAATGTATTGTGTCTTTTTGTTATTTGTTAATCCAACGCGGTTGTAATTAAATGTAATTTGTGCTTCCCTGAAGATTCATTTAAATAGAATGAACTTAAATAAAAGCAATGACTGTGGGTGTAACGATGAGAGTAATTGTACAAGCAGTAATCCTTTGTTACAGTGGAAACACTGTTTATCCAAAATTATATATATGTGCATATATATATCACGTAATCTGGACAAATTGCACAAATATTTTTTGGAAATGTAAACTCAATCTGTGTGGGTGTAAGCAAATAGGACATTCGAGGATGCCTAAAAGTCTTTTTATGTATGAGTTAAAAATAACACCAAGTGCTTGTACACACTACTCTAACAGACATCACTATTTTGATTATGTACAAAATCGTATGCACATTAGTGTGTTAGGGTGTGCGGATGTAGGTGTGGGTGGGTGGGTGCAATATTTCTAAACAAATCTATCTTCTAACCCATTACACTAGTACCAATGTAGTTTATCAGTAATGGTAATTTACATACTAAGCACTGATTCGATGACCATTATTTCGGAGAAATTCTCACATACATACAGACATATTGAAAAGAGTATAAGCATGATTGTTTAGTTTTTGCATATCTCATCATACACATAACTCCTTATAAGCTGAAGCATCGGTCTATGCATAAATTGATTTCTGAATGAAACGATGTGTTAGATTCCGGCTGTTTGACAATGTGAAGAAATGAAGCTGGTTATAGTCCTAACAACGTATATATATATATATATATATATATATATATATATATATCAAAGCAATATAATACTTTACAATCAATAAGCACTTAAGTCTGGTTTGTAGGAATTCGGTTTGTTTCAAGTTTGACCACGCATTGATATCAGTTAGTGAACCATTTGAAAGCAACAGAGAGTACTGGAGAGCTGTTTCGTTCTAGTTTAGGACTATTAGGCAGTAAGACCCCAGTGGGGTTCAGGAGTGAGGACAAAACTCCATATTAGTTTGTTTATTAGATATATCACATAGTGAAACAGTATTATTTACTGGATGACAAGTTTTCGAACACAATTTATTGCTCCTAATCATATCAATTATAATCACACGACTTCGAAACTTGAGTTTTATAGTTTTCTTTGTCCTCTCCTATTTCTCGTCGAAGGGGTGGTAGAATTTTCCATATGTCCTGGTGGACAGGTGTTCAATCATTTCTATTACACGTGTTTGCAGTTGATTCAATACACAAAGCTTCTGTTATCAATCTCTCCCTCCACCAAACTGTTACATTGGATTTTAAAACTGTCATCCTATCCCATCCTATTGTATGGTTGTGTGTGACTGCATGTAGTGCTATAGCTGAACTATTCTCTAGATTTCTTATCTTATTTGGATCAACCAATCTAGATTTTGCTAAGTTTTTTATGTTCAGCTAGTCTGACTGCCCCTGTTCTACTAGTTTGACCTATGTATTCGACCTGACAATCATCGCAGGCAGGGTGTTAGATAAACTAAATTGTTTTGTTTTAAAGGCTCTACAGGATCCTTTAACAGGACAAATACTCGCCGATGACATTGGCCGGTAGTTGGTCAGAAATCACTAATTGCTAGAAGTTAGGATTTATGGGCGGTTGGCTCAGGCGCCTGTGATTGAATGGTCTTGGAACGTCTTGGGTTCGAATCCCAGGAGGTACGTACTGATGATGAGTTAAGAGGTAGGAAGAAATAGGTGTTTAGTAGTCCCTGTTGGTTTTCGATGTTTTTTTTAACTGATACTCATTGAGGGATGAGGTTGTGATTATTATATATCCAAGCCAAGAACTATTCAGTAACTCTATCAAAATCCAACTATTTATGCTTTCTAGCTTCCGTTAGTCTCAACCTACTGCTTGTGGGAATTGGTAAGCAGATGGGTTTCCAAAGTTATAATGAGAAGTCACGACCACTGGTTTTGCATTTAATAGGTAATGAGGATATTTACTAGGACAGTTATTATCGAATAGTCGGGAAGTAGACTGACACTTGTAAAGTGCTCTCTGCTTTTAAACAGTTATCTGTCTTATGTCCTTTGACAAAACATTCTATTATGAAATCTGTATGAATTAATGGTGTGTCAATGATCCTGTGGTGGGATACACGTCAACCACTCACTTGGTTCGGGTGCCCATTCCCGACCAATGGACTCCTAAAGCTTACCTAGCCGTTTTTAAACCTAGTGAAGAGGGAAATTTGGAGATGAGGCACCTTGTAAGAAATACCACCACTATTGAAGCTTTAAAGCTCAAGTTTGAAGCCATATATTTCACTGGGAACTAAAAGGGATGAAAAAATGTCATGATGGCTAAACTAATAAGGTATTTAGGGGAGAATAACGTTGTCTATCAGTTTCATAACCTACAGTTAGCAAATAATTAAATAAATAAAAGAAACAATAAGTATAAGGACGAATACCTTTATCTCTATGTCTTTAAAATTGTTTTTAGATGAACTGTTACGTGAGATGAAGACAAAACAAAATCAACTAATTCCAATAGGTTTCTTTGGCGGTAATTATAACCTAAAATAACCAGCAACCTAAATCTTCGTTCTAAAAAAAAAGATGTCCTTTTGTACGTTGCTAGGTAATCACAAATTAGGTGTTTACATTCTGGCCAGATAGATACATTCTTTATAAAGTCACTTAAGCAAAAGTGAGCTAGAGCTAGAGCAGTCGTGGTAGCTAGAATGGCCTTTATAAACCCAGCGAGTCATAGAAGGTATATCCAACAGGTTTCACACTTTTATAAACAGTTGCCTTCGTTCAATACTGAAGATCAGAATGCCAGGCAGAATGGTTTAGCAACAGTAAACTCTGGGAACGAGCCGATCAAGAACCTGTTGCTCAAGAAATGTTTCGAAGAAATTGGAAATGGATCGAACGGATGTTGATGGAATCCTTAAGTGATGTCACTTTTCGGACCATCGAGTGGAACCCGGATATAAAACAGCAAATTCAGCAGGTGTCTGAGTGTGACATGAGTGAGGTAGTGTGGCGAGGAGATGAGAGCTTAAGGGCAACCATTAGTTAATACGAAGAGGACTATAGAGAACGGACAAAATAGAGAAGTTATGTTGAAGTTCTATGTTCCACTCATGATCTAAGGGATGAATGTATATCAGTTAAAATGTTGTTTGAACTCAGATATGGCTGATATCATCAGTTATGCATTTGATAGTGACACTGAGACAGTTGGTATCCTCAAGTCATCTATCCTGTAATATGCACTGGGATAACAGACAATGATTTTGTTAAAGAAAAATAGAAAGTTTATCTCCTCTTATCTTGTTTTTTTGTATTTAGGACCAGAAGGATGGATGGCATCAATTGAAACTGGATCCGGTTGTTATACTGAATGCCTGGCTAGTATATTAGAACAGTTGTGTCGAAAATCTCCCTATTCAAAAGCTATACAACTTTTAAATGTGGAAAATTCAAATAAAAGTGAAATGCAAAGTTTCACTTGTCAAGTGGTTTCAATTTTAAAAGGTAGAATTATTCCCTACGCTCTTCGAAGATTTCTATGGCCTTTAGCACTATTCACAGTAGCTAATTGGACTAAATCAGAATTTGAAAATGGAAGTGAAATTGTCTGGGATGGAATGAAAATAAGGTACAGTTTAATTTGTTTGTACTGAGTTTCTTAACTATCGAATAAATATAACAAGGATTTGGGCGAAAATGTATTGTCTACGAATTCGCCTCGTAACTTGAAGGTCCTGGGTTCGATCCCCTGTGGAGTCATGGGTGTGCACTAATGAAGAGTCTCAAGTACGGACGAAAAAACAGCTGCCAAATATCCCCTGATTGTGTGCGTCAGTGGTTTGGTGGTAGAATCTTCACCGACTGTGCATATGGTCTGGGGTTCGATTCCCGACCAACGGACTCCTAAAGTGCCAGTACTAAACACAACAAAAAGGGGAGGTTGGCTCCGGGGGACTAGCAACCCTACCACTGCTACTGAAACTTCAAGGCTCAAGTTCGCAGTCCTGTGTTCCACTCACAACTCAAAGAAGTAGTAAAGTATATCAAACGAAATTTCCAACTAAATCATGATTGATAATATCCAGCTTTTATAAAAAGGATAATATAATGCACTTACTTTTCTTAAAACGAAGCAAGACAACAAAATTTGCTAGTTTGATTTCAGAGGTGTTCATAGTTTATGCCGAAGGGATTACTAACCCAACTCACTAAGGTGCTATTTAGTCTATAAAAATTCCATATATTTTCGTCAAACTGTTACAGACCATGAATAGACCAAGTCTATAAGGGGGAATAAGAAATTCTGGGAATGTTCAACAAATATGTTGAAGAAAATGGTGGGGGATTGGACTCACTCTGAGGAAACCTTTTATTGACATTTCGCGGCGGGTCTTCTAGTGAAAACCGAATAGGAGACAACGAGTTGGGTGGGTGTCCATCGATAACATAGAATTAATTTTTAATTTTGATTTTGATTACAGCTTGATGCCACACCGTATTCTCAGTACAAGTATGACATTTTCAGCGTGGATATCGGTAGCCCAAATTTTGCAGGCCGACCATAGATATCGGGTGTGCGTCGGTAGGGGTTCGAACCTCGGACCATGTGTATGGTCGGCGAGAGTCCTAACCACTGTGCCACCGACGCATCGTGTGGGAAGATGAGAAGTTACAAGCAATCGTGGAGCAGGCTAAATATGACTGAAGAGAGCAGGACAAAATGTAGATGTTATGTTGAAGCCTTATTTTCCACTTGGAACCAAAAAAGGAACAATAGGAAGGTTGATAAATGCCATTGCTATCATTAGATCAGGATCAGTTTAAAAATGTAGAACTCCGTACCTTATGGTTCATAACTATACGTTAACCAAATACGACCCATAAAAAACACACTCTGGAAAAACAAACAAGTTTTAGGCGTTCTGATAAGATCTTCACACTGAAATATTCACCATTATCGAATGCCCACCGTGTTTCTCGACATATAATCTTCGTCAGTTAACAGGTGTCATGGTAGAATGCAGTTTCAAGAAGATATATCATGCTAGACTAGGCTCTCTACCGGAATTCAAACATCAGTGTAGGTTGCTTTGCTGGGAATAACCGGTCAGGACAGATAAGTAGTTGGAGACTGTTGGTAACAAGGCTCAGAATTATTTACAACCTCTCAGATGCAAGCATTCTTTGTCACATTCCAGATTCGGAATATTCTGAATGATCTTTATTCAGACATACTTCTTCTTTAATATAAGAATAGAACTTGTGCACTGTGGTAGAGTATCATTCCATTATGGGTAAAATTTATTTTGATAAAGTCTTACAATGTTATACAGTAATATTAACTGATGACATTTATCAAAACACTTAGCTCTAATATTATGTCCTATTAGAAATCGTTCAAACTGTAGACTAACTATTTCATATTATTATATTATTATTATTATTTCCTTTAGTTCCTAGAGGAACATAGGGCTTCAGCCATGCGTCTCCATTGCGTTCGGTTCTCTGCTAGAGTTTTCACCTGGCTCCAGGTCTGCCCACATGCTTTCATCTCCTCTTCACATGATCTCCAGGTCACCCTTGGACGACCAACTCCCCGCTTCCCTTTCGGGTTCCACTCGAGGGCTTGTCTAGTGATGTCACTTGCTGGTTTCCTCAGAGTGTGGCCAGCCAATCCATCTCCATTTCTTCCTGCCTATTTGTTTCACAATCGGTTCCTGGTTGGTTCGCTCCCAGAGATCTTTGTTGCTGATCCTTTCCGGCCATCTGATCTTGAGTATTGAGCGAAGACATCTGTTAGTGAAGGTCTGTAGCTTGTTTGAGGTGCTTTTTGTGACACGCCAAGTCTCTGATCCGTATAGTAGTACTGACTTCACATTGGAGTTGAAAATCCCGATTTTATTTTTGACGCTGAATGATGTTGACCTCCACACAGACTTGACAGTAATGAAAGCTTGCCTTGCTTTCCCGATCCTTGCTTTGATATCCTCGTCAGTTCCGCCTGTAGTTGAAACAATGCTTCCGAAGTAGGTAAAGGAGGTAGTTTCTTTCAGGTTCTTTCCATTTATGCTGATTGCTGTCTGTTGTTGTTGGTGGTGGTGTTGGCCAGGGATCTTCATCACCTCCGTTTTCTCTATGTTCACCTGGAGTCCTATCTTTGATGCTTCTTCTGCCATGAGATGAAAAATAAACTAAATGACATTCAACTAGAGAATGATGAAACAATAGTTAGTTTTGATATAACCAGTCTTTATACTAATATACCAATCAATATGGCCTTAGAAGCAGCTGAAAAAGAACTAACTGCAGATCCTGAACTCACTCATAGGACGAAGTTGCCCCTTAAGGAAATTATTTTAGGAATTCAGTTATGCCTCACATCTACTATCTTTAAATTTCAAGGTAAAATATATTGACAAACTTAAGGTGTAGCAATGGGATCACCAATATCCCCTATCGCAGCAGATATATTTATGAACAGCTGGGAAAATATGGCTCTTAATACGTTTAATCCTACTCCAAAAATATGGTGGAGATATGTGGATGACTGATACTTTCACAGTGTTAAAACAGAACATATCTCTAGCTTCTTGACACACATAAACTCACTAGTAGAGGGAATAAAATTCACATTTGAATCGGAAAATGAACAAGGAGAATCAGCCATGATGTTAGATTGTAAAATAAAACGAATAGAAGAACGTAAACTGCACACTAGCGTTTACAGAAAGCCAACTCATTCTGCTAATAGATATTTAGACTTTAATTCATCTCATCTGTTAACTGTTAAGGCAGGCTTAGTTAAGTGTCTAACAAACCGAGCTGTAGCACTAAGCAGTACAAGAAAAGACCTAAATGATGAAATAAAACAGAGAGAAGAAGAAGAAGAAGCGTTGGTGTTAAGTAACTGACCATTCTATAAAATTCATTAGGAATAACAAAAAATAATTGTGAAAAGAGTAATGATAATATAAATAAGAGAGAATACAAGGCATCTACAGTTATACCATATAAGGAGAAGATATATGAGACCCTACGTAGGATTCTTACTAAAGCAGGAATTAGAGTGGCATTTAGACCTACAAAATCACTCAGGGACAAGCTCTGTAGGTTAAAGGACCCAGTTGTTCCAATTAGACAAAATAATATAATTTACAAAATACCTGGCAATGACTGTAAGTTAAGTCAACTACGTAGGTCGAACTAGTAGGTCCGGGGTAGTCAGATTGTCGGAACATACGAATTTAGCTAAGGTAAGAATGTTTAATTGGATTTTGGATTTTCCCGTCGATTGATTGGACTGAAGTGCTCGATCTCAGGTTGACATCACGGCTTCTTGTGCAGATGCTTCGATGATGTCTGGGCATTTCATTAGTATTTAATTGGTGGATGGTAACTAACAGTGGAATCCAGGATGCGCATTTCGTCGTATTTGGGGCTCGTCATCTGGATGTACCTGCATTTCTCAGTGAGTGATGATGTCCCCACCGAGGTTCGAACCCAGTGCCCATAATTTCAAACGCCAAAGCGTTATCCACTAGACCACTTGGGCCATCACTCACTGAGAAATGCAGATAAATCCAGTTGACGAGCCCCAAATACGACGAAATGCGCATCCTGGATTCCACTGCTAGTCACCATCCACCAATTAAATAATAAGGTAAGAATGGTTGACCCCGAGAAGATAAGTAATTTAGAAGAAATCTCAACAATTGGACTGACTGCATTAGCACACAACCACACAATAGGGTGGGACAGAGTCAAAGTTGTAAAAAGTAATTTATGCAGGTGGAAAGAGAGGCTGATTACTGAACCTTTGTTCATCGAGTCTACACCCAACACGTGCAATAGGAATGACTCATCACTCATTCCGGAAATTTAGAAAATACTACTACCAATCATCAAATCAAACGATGAAAAATAATGGAATAATATAAACGAAGTTAGAAAGTTGTGTGAGTACCTTGATATGATTATGAGCAGTAATAAATTGTGGTCTTCAGTAAATATTACTGTGTAACACTATGAGAGTTTATCAAAATAAATTTTACCCATAATGGAATTATACTTCCTCCTTATGTATTTCCCTTCTTTTAATTTTCATTATATTACTTTAGTCTATTTTAAAGGAGTAGGTACTTGCATGTATGCATCCGACTGTTTGGAATTAATCATAATTTCCTTCGGAACCTAGAAATATTCAAATCACAAAATGTCATCTGCTGGATATCATAAATCATAATGATAAAAAACAAACAAAATGGTGTGGTGGTATATACGGCTGACTGATATATGTAGTTGGAGTGGCACTAGCTGATTCGAAACTCCAAGTTAACTCGATCCTGGTGCACATGTAATGAGCCCGTCGCTAGACGAGTAAAACAGATGTTCGGTGTCTAGATCACTTCCATCTGCCAGTCGAGCACTACTACTTGAAGTGACTGATCTTCAACCATACATCATTATGCTGTTGAACGGATGCCTTTTTGTACAAAGTCCTATGTTGTTTTCTGAATCAAAAAATCAAACAGTCCCTCAGTGAAATTCTCTGAAATATAGTCGTACATAAATTCCTTTGACCCATTTTGTTTGTGACTCGAGAAGCGTGTAAAGATAAACCCATTTTTAGCGCCTCAGTAAACTTCACTGTAAGACCTGCTTCTGATTTTTGTTATGATACTATACTCCTTATCACTGTGCTTCTATTTTGAATGCAGGCAACTAGAGTCGTTATCTCGTGAAAGTTTTGGAATTATGTTAGCATCTGGAACTTCAAAACTACGAATAACAACTCCAGTTTGTTCAACACTTGATGGTGTTATCAGTAAAACCGTGAAAGAAGTAAGTGATTAATTAAGAGTTATTATCCACCTGGAGAAAAGTATCTTTAATATGGGCTTCAGATAATTATTCTTGCTTTTAGTTTGATAACTAATTGTACACATAAAAGCCATAGATTCAAGCAGGCATGGATTTTTAATATATTGGACTTCTAGTTCAACCATATTCAAGCATAAAGGCAAAGCCAATAACTGTTCATGAAGTTGGTGACAAGTAACATTCTAGTCATATAAATACTACAAGATTAGTGTGAGAACATTTGGTTTTCGAGGAAAAAAAAGTAGTAGTAAGTAATTTTGACCCATATTTCTTTTCACGTTAGTGTATAACTACAGAGAGTCACACACGCAGTTTGAAAGATAAAAATGTTACATAACTGCTTGATTCTTTTTAAGACGAATAGAGTTCAGATTTAAGAAGCCAGTCAAAGAAAATTAGTCCTTATTATTATCCCCCTGGATTCCAAGTGGAACATAGGACTTCAAAAACACACCTACATTTTGTTCTGTTCTCTGCAGTTATCTTCATCTGACCCAACGGTCGCCCATAAACTTTCCTCTCTTCGTCACAAGATCTTCATATCATACTCGGACCCATGTCCCACTTGTCGCTTCCACTTTGGATAGCACTCGAGGGCTTGTGATGTGATGTCGCCCGACGATCTTCCCTGCGTACACAATCCATCTCCACTTTCTTTGTCATTACTGTTGGGCTTTAGGATCTTGGTTGTTTCGTCCCCAGAATTTCCTATCGTGTACATTTCGTGGACATTTGATATTCAATATAGAGTGAAGACAATTGTTGATCAATGTCTGCAGTGGCCTGTTCTAAATGCTTTTCTTGACGCGCAAAGTTTTTGACTCATAGAAGAGCTGACTACCTGAACATTGGTGTTGAAAATCCGAATTTTGTTGTATATTGTGAGTGCAGAAGATTTCCAAACTGATTGCAAAGTGATGAAGGTCTACCCTTCTTATACTTAAGTGCGTAGCATTAAAACGTATTACTTATAAATCAAATTTTTACCTTGTTACCAGCCAGAGAAAAATAGGGAACACTGACAGAACTATTGGGGTCGAAAATCATTGTGTAAAAGTAAAAACCATGAAAACTGGACATCCAGCTGTTTCATCCTAGTTAAGAATCATCGTCAGTACGCACCCACTGGAGTTCGAACCCAGCACCTTCCATTTACAAGGCAGGCTCGTATACCATTCAGCCACTGGGACCTGATTCAGTGGTCAGTGCATGAATTCTAACTTCTAGCAATCCGTGATTCTCGTGCGACCGACCACCAACCATTGTCATCGGTGAGGAATACATGCTCACTCGCGACTGTTTGGACCTTACTGGTCACAACGTCTCACTTTCGTCCAGTCGCCAGTGAGGATGGATTTCTCGCCGATGACATTAGTTGGTGGTCAGTCACACTAGAATCATGAATTGGTAGGAGTTAGAATTCATGCACTGGCCACTGAATCCGAACCCAGTGGCTGAATGGTATACGAGATTGCCTTGTAACCGGAAGGTGCTGAGTTTGAACCCCAGTGGGTGCGTACTGACGATGATTCCTAAATTAGGATGAAACAGCTGGATGTCCAGTATTCCCTGGTTTTCAATGGTTTTCTAACTGATATCAATCCGTCGTCAAACTCGAAAGACCCATCTAATCTTAACAAATCAACTCTTGAAAAAGTTAATTTGTTTTCTAAATTGATTTCGGAATCTCCTTAGTTTTGATGCTTGAGAACTGCGACAACTCTTTTTTATTATTCCTTTACGTTCCCAATGGAACATAGGACTATAAACTACAGGCTCGAAGTTTCACTAGCAGTGGTGTTTGTTTGCTAGCTTCATGCCCTACCTTTTTTCTTTGTCAGTCCTGTTACTGGCATATCGAGGTAAAGGAGTGCGTCGGTGGCCCGGGATCAAATGCCGGACTACCTGCGTGGCTGGCGAGCTTTCTACCGCTGTGCCACCGACTCTTCCTTTTACTTCCTTTTAATTGTAATTACATTGGCGGCTACATATAAAGAGGTGTTCACGATACAAATCTCTCTTAAGAATTACTGCTAATTCAGATGAAAAAAACTATAACAACTGATGTTCCAGTAAAGCACATATGGGAACACTGTAGTGTAGAGAATAAAAATAATAGAGGGAAGAGATTATATGTTAATAGAACCACATTCAGAAGAGATAAAGTATTATGCAGACAATTTTCATGTTCTTATTTAGCTGGTGATAGCTAACAGTAGAATCCACGATAAATATCTCGTTTATTTTTAATTCGCGAAAAATACCCATTAAGACATTGAAATAAGAACAAATTAGTTCAGCGAAGAGTCTCTTTTCAGTACCAATTAGTCGTAAGCGAAACTTGATAATATCTCTGTCGACTAGAATCCGAAAAATCTGCAGTCCTGCATCAATAGAGGAAGAGATCGCCCTCTTAAGGAAGACACTGCTCGAGAATGGCTACCCACCTCGTTTTATAGACAAGCATATTAAGCCTAAGACTTACAAAGAACAACCCATTACAGTGCAGAAGAAGATGGTCTACATGAATGTACCCTTCAAAGGTGACCTTCTGGCTGACACCTTGAAGAAGAGGATATCTACTGCTCTCAGAAGGACATTCTTCGCTGCCACACTACGACTGACATTTTCCTCCCGGCCATTGTTCTTCAACTACTCTAAAGATAAACTATCGCATTTGACCACTTCCATGTGTATTTACCAATTCACCTGCTCTTGCGGAGCGAGGTATGTAGGTCATTCGATGCGAGTTTTATCTAAAAGAGTTCAAGAACACTATCCCGCCTGGCTACGGAAAGGTAACAATGGAGCAATAAGGAGCGCCATTATTGAGCATATACTCAACACTGGTCATTCGATTTGCAAGGAGAAGTCGTTCAAAGTCATCTATAAAGTCAAAAGAAGCCTTCCAAAATTGACAAGCTTCCGTATACTTTGTATTGCCGAAGCCTTAGCGATTTGGATAGAAAAGCCTGAATTATGCACACAGAAGAAACTTCTCCACCCCCTCCTACTACCGCGGGTTTAATTTCAAGTTTATCTGTCATCAACATTTTGTTATCAAATTTTTTTTTGCAATTTTCGTATAATAATTTTTTAGTAACTAACCCATTCAATCTCTTCACCTATTATCTAGTTTATTTTCATAATTGTCTCCATACTCCTTCACTAACATCTAATCTTTCTAAACATGTCTTTACTACGTAACCCAACTCACATCTTACCAATCTCCACCCCACTTAGTTACAACTTTGATTATTAATCACACATTTTAATTTCTTTATTATTTTGATGATATAATCAACAACCCACACTAACTGTTATTTTGATTTTGACAAACCTAATGTACACACACACTCACAAAATTAATTGTATATATTTGCGACTGTACAGCTAGGTGAATGAATTCGCCGAAAAGAGACTCTTCGCTGAACTAATTTGTTCTTATTTAAATATCTCGTTGTATTTCAGACTTGCACCCCCTGTTCCAGTAACTAATAGTGTTCACATTGAGACTAAAACCAAGCTCCTATTGTTCAAAGCCAAGTAATATAACGTTGACCTCACGGTACCGTCTAGGCAACTATACTTAAAAGCCAATATAGGAGCAGAGACCGAACATTCTCGGGAATTCAAAATAACTAGTAAATAACACTTAAGTTCTTCTTTCATTGGACCTTTATTCGATTTACTTTCGACTATTAATTATTACAACTTTACCCGATTTCATGGGATCATTTACTACTTATACGCTTTCTTGTGAGTAGCACTTGATAATCAAGAAGCAAGTCATCTTTTTGATTCACTAAATCGCATGTCAATTTACGGTATTTTCGTATTACATATGCTTATCATCAGCTTACCTTTCAAGACTAGACAATATAACCATTGTTTCTAATTACTTTAAATGGTATTGTAAGATTAATTGCATTGCTGCTAATCTCACTGGTAAAAAAATTCCGAATAATCACGTAGCAGTAGAACATTTGTATATTACAAAGTGCGAAAGTAAAACTAATTTAACTAGCTAGACAGTTTATCCTTTGTGAACTGACTGGTTCGTGCTTCGGTTGAAAAAAATCAGAAATCATAAAGTAGACTTTAAAAAATGTTCCAATTATCCTCATCACATTTAGTCAGATATTCGAAACACTGATGTCCTTAATCTTTTCTTAAAAAAGTTAATTCATGGTATAAAAAGAAATATAAAGTTGGCTATTTGTCTTTAGGTAAATTTTGAGTCTGAGACAATGGGTGAAAGGGTTCGAGTCTCCGTGGTAGAACCACCACGCACTGGGAATGCAGGTACATCCAGTTTATCAGTCCCACAAATAGGTGAAAATGCGCATCATTGGATCCCACTGATGTCACTTACCATAAACCAAAATAACATCAACAATAGCGTCCCAGGAGTGCGAACGCACGAATGACCTCCAACTGACTAATCATAAAAATGAGGAATATTTCCTCAAAAAATGATGTATATTGACATAAAAATGCTTGAAAACGCATTAAACAGGTTATCTTTCTCTGACATGGCTTATGGAGTATCAGTTGCTAAGTTAGACTAGTTTCTGTACATGTATTCATCGAGATGACTACGGATAACCTGTTTTTGTGAATCGTTTATCTTTCTCATCCTGCTTGCATTCTGCCAAAAAAAGCCCTCGGTTGAATTATTATGGCTTCCAGCAAGAGGATAGACGACTACTTACCAGGAAAACGCGGATAACAAAAAATTAAAATAAATGACATCAACTATAAATCTATCCCTAATCGTAACCAAAAGCTTGATCCTAATCCTAATCACAACCCTTATCCACACCGTTATTCTAACCCTAATGCTAATTATAACCCTGATCCTAACCCTAACTTCAATACTTACCTCAACCCTAACCCTAACGAGCTATTAACACATTGTCCAAACAGTACCTAAAAACGTGATCTGGGTGAAATTTGCTCCTAAGTTGGTGAATTGCGTTGATATTTCAGCTTTGATAATGACAGATGCCGTTAGCCAACGACGAGCATGTATTCAAGGTCATTGGTGCATTCACGCTACTGGGACGCTATTGTTGAACTTCGCCAAGTTCACTTTATCTGATATTTCAGTAAATAATAAACGAAGGGACAATTTAGAAAAGAGCGGTGTTAGTTCAGAAGGGTTACAATCAAAATGAAATAACCATGATCAATGAAAACTGTATAAGATGTATCAATCACAACTTACCCAGGCTACAAATTTGAAATGAAGCATATCAAATTATATCCAGTACTGATAGGACGGCAAGTATTTGCAACCCCAGTGATAGTTTTGTTCCCCTTCTGAGATTGCGTTTTTCACGTAGGAACCTTTGAAATTCTTCTAACCTCATACTCATTAAACCATTTAATATAAACTCCAATACTCCATGTTAGAAGTTATAAAGAAAGCGGTAGACTTCGTTACCATACCTTTAATGATTCAATATTTATATAATAATCGATTGATACACTCATATGTATTTAACTGCATATTACTAGCTTAGTGTCGAAAATGTTATTTTATCATAGGTAATAAGATTTGTGTATTTATCAGTATTTTCTGTCTGGCATGTATATTCCATTATTTATGTCTCTCAGTGAAGTCAGTTATGACTCATTCAGACGGTTATCACTGACTTGTGAATCAGATAGAGAGATCTTGATATGATTGGCGATCACACTGGGCTTGTTACTTGTTTGATCACGTGAAAAGGTGACAATTTCAACTTGAATTCCGATATATTTAATTCAAAAGATCAGACACATGACAGGTCACGTTAACACATGCATGATAGATGGACATATTTAATATTTAAGTATGTGAGCTCCTGACTATAGATCAAGTGTCCTAAATCACGTCAAATTAATAATGCTTATATAAAAATATAACCATGCCTAGGTTATGTCCTGCCTAAAATGAAATAGAAAGGATGCATTTGACATGTTTTAAATAAAATAACCAATTAGATATTAACTCTATGTCTGAAGCAGATATCCCTCTCTCACCACCATATAAGTCCAGTGATAAAACTAAATTCATCTCAGCTATTGTAAATTAGTTATGCAGGTGGCTAGTGAAAATACTCACAGTAGCTGAACCTATTTGACGTGCCCATGGGACAATCGATCAAGTTTTTGATCGCACTGTAATAGCGTAATTAAAGAACAAAAAATACAACACATCTGAATAAATCAGCAATATATGCTGAGTGCGTTCAAACTCATTGATTGAAAACTGAGCATATTCCTAAATGGCTCCAGAAACAAATGGAATCTTCAGAACCTATTAACGGTGAGAACAGGAGACCTAGCTCTTCCACTGCGAAACATATTATAGAGACAGAACATAAAATTGACGTTAACAGATCATTTAGACCTATCTATAAAACGTGTTTGGGGCGTGTCCTAAAGTTTGTGGAAGCCCTAGCAATTAGAAAGTTTCAGCCACCTTTATGCGTTCAAAAACAATTCGTCATCACATTAAACCTTCCTTGGTAAATTTTGCTTTTATACCATAGCAGATGTACTATTACCTCTGTTATTTGGTTTAGTGGTCTTCATTGTTACTTTGACCTTGAATATGTCCTTTAAACTTGACCTAAGTAGTCTATTTTCTCACCTCTTAACTCTTCATTAATTTCATATGTATATTCCTATGACAAGTCCGTGTGTGATTAGATTGTTCGAAATGTGTTGCGCAAATATGCACATTACACGATTCAGACAAATTACGTCTTCTTATTGCTTTATCTAAATTCATAAAGGGAACTAATTGTTTTGAATAACTAGTGTCCTGAGTATAGGACTTTGTTTGGCGCAGACTGAATAATACCAGTCAAGCGCCTAGCATGATGGCCATATTGAAAACTGGGCACTAGCTACTTACTATTAAGGGGTCAATCAAAGTATATAATAGAGTGCTTCAAGAGGTCAGCCACGAGACTGAATAGCACAGTAGTAACGTCTTTAACAACAGCACTGGTTGACACGGGTTCTAATTCCATAGGTACATCATGTTGATTAGTGTGTGCCGACAAGCACAAAACCTAGGTCCGATGTATCCTGCTCAGATTGCCTCCAACCACCTAATAGAATCCAACTTTATATTCAAGATTAACTGCGCAATTCATTATTGTTTGTCCTATATTTCAGTAAGCAGTTTATGTAATGGTTAGCAAGCAGAGAAGGATCAAATCAATGTTTTCGAAAGGTTTCTTAGGAGCAGTGCTGAAAGCATCTGGTAACTGCAATTCACTAATTTGATGCTAATGTCTTCATCGGTAAAGCTAACAGTTTCGAACTGGTCGCCAGCCCACCCTAGATATTCTAGTTCTACGCGGGAATATGCTGACGTGATTGGGATTCAAACAACTGGATGAGTACTTGACCAACAACCTTCAATTCTCGATCACTGACAGTCGATAACTGATAATATTCATTTTAAAAAAACCTGATTTATACCATGTTTTAAACATAAATATGCATATTAATAACCCTATTTTATTGTTTTAGGCAATTACAGAACTACGACCAAGATTTCATGACCAACAAAAACAATTTAGCCGGTATCAAGAACAATCAGTGAAAATTTTAAATGTACTTTATACAGCTAGACAAATCTACGATCCATTATACATTTATTGGCTTCTTCCTATTCATTTCGCACTGACAAAAGATCATATCCACGCATTAATTAAACACTTTCCAAAAATGCCACCAGAAGAACATCCTAATCCAACTGATGAAGGTGAGATGATTGTTAATTCATGTATGAATATCATGTATACTCTATATTCCGACAAAAAAACCCAGTGAAGTTGATATACATAACCTTTCTGTAAGGATAGGATATGGGCAATTCGGTGGAATATAATTCCACAATAGATGAATTTATTCGATGGAGCACATAGTTATACAGTAGTAGTAACAACAACAGACAACATTCAGCATAAATAGAAGGAACCTGAAAGAAACAACCTCTTTTACCTACCGACCTGGGAAGCATCGTTTCAATTACAGGCGGAACTGACGAGGATATCAAAGCAAGAATCAGAAAAGCAAGACAAGCTTTCACTACTCTCAAGTTTGTGTGGAGGTCAACAGCATTCAGCATCAAAAATAACATCCGGATTTTCAACTCCAATGTGATGTCAGTGCTACTATACGGATCAGAGACTTGCACTGCGCGTCATAAAGAGCATCTCAAACAAACTACAGACCTTCATTGACAGTTGTCTTCGCTCAATACTCAAGATCAGATGGCCGGCCAGAAAAGATCAGCAACAGGGAGGGATCACTGGGAGCGAACCAACCCAGCAGGAACCGATTGTGAAACAAGTATGCAGGAAGAATTGGAGATGGATTGGCTGGCCATACTTTGAGGAAACCATCAAGTGACATCACTAGACAAGCCATTGCTCGAGTGGAATCCGAAAGTGAAGCGGCGAGTTGGTCGTCAGTGCGAGGGTGGGTGACTTGGAGGAGGTCATGTGAAGAGGAGATGAAAATGTGTGGGCAGACTTGGAGCGAGGTGAAGACTCTAGCAGAGAACCGAACGCAATGGAGATGCACGGCTGAAGCCCTATGTTCTTCTAGGAATTAAAGGAAACAATAATAATAATAATAACTTGATGACGTTTAAAGAATAGCTTATTGTATCCTTGTTTAAACATTATCCCATTGAATTGTGAGTGGAGCATATGGCTTCAACAAAATATCTCCATTTTGTTCTGTTCTCCAAAATCCTTTTCAGCTGGCTCCACAGTTGCCCATAAGCGCACATCAACCCCTCACATGACCTCCTCTATTACACATTTGGACACAGACCCAACTAGTCGCTTTCCATTTGGGTTCTACTTGCACGATTGCCTGCCTGAATTGCACAAGACGTCATCCAACTTTTTTCTCAGCGTGTGTCCGATCAATCGCCATTTTCTCCCACATATTTGTTGGGCAGTAGATTCTTCATTGGTTCATTCCCGGAATCCCCTGTTGAGTATATTTTCTGGCCATCTGATCATCAGTATCGAGCAAGAGAAGACAGCTGTTAATAAGTCAAAATCCCGTTCGAATTGCTGCTTATTATGCGTAAGCCATGACTCATACAGAAGAACTGACTACCTGAACATTGGTGTTGAAAATCCGAATTTTGTTGTATATGGTTGGCTGAAGTAGCTTTCCAAACTGATTTAAGAGTAATCAAGGTTTGTCTTGCCTTTTCGATGCTGGTTTCGACGTTCTTATTCGTTCCACAGCCTGTAGTTGAAGCAATTGACGTCTTGCAGACTTCTCCTATTGATAGTGATTGATGCTTGTAGTTGGTTAGTTATCTTCATCACCTCCGTCTTCTCTATGTTCACTTGAAATCCTTTCTTTCCTGGTTCTTCAGCTAGTTTGTTGGTTTTCGTCTGTAAGACTTAGAATTTATTTGAAAGCTTATTGTTGATTATCATGTGAATGCATTCACACGACTTGATAATTGGCTTTCGACAGCCTTACTCGTTGCTGTTCTCTATAGCAATTTCCCATATATGTAAGAAATCAGTGTTGCATCGTTTCGTGTTGATTCGATGAGGAGAGATTCGATGATTAACGTCTCTCTTTCCAACTAGCTATAGAACCTTTAGTACTTTGCTTCATCGAATCCTACAGGATGACTGCAGCTAAGTGAATGTATTGTAACGACTGAGCATTTTTCCAGATTAATTAATTTAACAATAATAGCTTTATTCTGAACAATGTTTATGTAATGTACAAAATTTGCAGTGGAGCTTATTGCATGGTACTTCCCATTCGTTCAAGATCTTCAGATAAATTAATAATTGACAGTAGGGCGTATGACGCAATGCTGTCTGACCTGAGGTGAAAACCAATCAGTTTTGATGTTGTTTTTTGTTTTTCTGCTTCGAGAATTACACGACATTTGATTGAAAGTTCAGGGGTACATTTTAAGACCCAAAATCACCTTGGGAACAGTTATCTTGTGTATTGGCATATGTTACCACCCACGAATAAGCTTTTTCTCAAAATTAGTAGAAACTTGTGAATCAACAGGTTTGTTCTATTTTTTGCCGTCGTCTTCTGCTGGGTCCACGATTACCCATAGTCTGTCATCTCCTCCACGCCACACGATCTCCTCCATATCATCCTCCAACGAACGCCCCACTCATCGATTACTATTGAGATTCCATGAGCTCCTCAATGTATGCCCAGTCCGTCTCCATTTTCTTCTGCCTATTTATTGAGCAATCAGCTCTTGGTTGGTTTGCTCCCAGCCAGAGTTCCTTTCTGTTAATTCTTCTTTTCTGGCCGGCCAGTCATCTGATCTTCCATATGGGGCCAGCGAAGGGGGCAGCTGTTGATAAAATTCTGCAGTGGCTTGTTAGAAATCCTTTTCGTGACACCAAGTGCGTCGGTGGCACAGCGGTTAGGACTCTTGCCGACCATGCATATGGCCCGGGGTTCGATACCCTGCGGACGCACACCCGATATCAATGGTCGGCCTGCAAAATTTAGGCTACCGATATCACATGCTGAAAATTCCATACTTGTACCAAAAATATAGTGTGGAATCAAGCTATAACAAAAAAAGAAGTTTATGACTGATATAGAGGAAGTGACTGACTGACTTCGCATTTGTGTTGAACAGAATCCGGATCTTTTTCTTCATGCTAACTGAGTGCCATGCAGAAGATTTCCAAACTGGTTTCAGGTTGATGAAGGTGTTCCTCTCCTTTACAATCTTGGATTCGATCTCTTCATCCATTCCAGCTGCCTGTGGTTGAAACCGTGCTGCCTGGTTGGATAAGTGAAGGAAGTGACCTCTGTCAAATCTCTCCCGTTGCTGGTGATTACTGCTGGTTGTTGTTAATGTTGCATTTGGTTGGTTATCTTCATCACCTCCGTATTCTCTATTTCCACCTGGAGCCCTGTTTTTGCTTTCCGCCTCTTCAGCCAGTTTGTTGGTTTTCTCCTGTAAGTCTTTGTGTTTAGGTGACACTAAACATAAATAAGTCATCTGCAAAATCAATATCTTCTAGAGTCAGGAAGAATTTACCAAGCAATTTTTCCGTTACAAAAACTTCCTAATTCTTTGAACATTTCTTGAGCAATTGTCACTGTTTTCTGTGAAATATACCTTAAAATCAGTCAGTACCTTATTATTTTGTTAAGTAAAGAGACACTCTACCATACTGTCCAAGAATTGCACTTACATTGAAACTACACAAATTCAGCATTCAGCGATGAAAAATTTCATTTGTTCCCTTTTCAACATTTAGGTGTACAAATCTATTCCTATGCAATGTGCTTGAGTTTATTCATTGAAGTAATCAATAAGAAATATGGACCTTATAACAACCCTTGTACTATTAATAATATGATCGAGAAAGTCATGGGAAAATTGAATCATCTTGATTTTGTTGAACATATGAAGAGTGTAAACCAATGGTCCAGTTTAACAAACTCCATTTCAATGCTGACTGCAAACGACAATGACATAGATCCTGATGTAAGTTATAAACCATAAAATTAAGTCATTTTGTTAGAAATATCTGATCTGTCTTACGAGTTGATCACGGACTGATATCAGTTAGAGAACCATTGAAAACCAGGGAGTACTGGACAGCTGCTTTTTCATCCTAGTTTGGGAATCATCGGCAGTACGCACCCACTGGGATTCGAACCCAGGACCTTCCGGTTACAAGGCAAGCTCGTATACCATTCAGCCACTGGGACCCAATTCAATAGTTCAAGGTCCTGGGTTCGAATCCCAGTGGGTGCGTACTGCCGATGATTCCCAAACTAGGCTGAAACAGCTGTCCAGTACTTCTAGCTGGTTTTCACTGGTTCTCTAACTGATATCAGTCCGTGATCAACTCGTAAAACATAACTAATCCTTACAAACCAAACTATAGAAGATTAAATGTCTGTAAATTCTTATTCCTGTTTGAGGATGTCAATGATTTCAAATTGTGAGGGCATCAGCTTTATGACATTTGATGCCGTGAACGTCTGTGTCAGGTGTGTACAATCTTCCACAATTTATAAAAGCTGAAAGCTAATTTTGAGCCAATTTTAAAATTTCCTTGTTCTATTGCTGTAACTTTAAATTGTCAATGGGATTCGGTTGAAAGTAGTTTTACAGTAAGTTGAAAAATTATCCCGCTGCTGGTTTTACCTTTTTGGCTGTTTCCTCCCAGGCAGTGAACTGGTTCTGGACGCGAAACAAAAAAATACATTAATTCAGTAATTATATCCCTGCTTAAGAAACAGCATGTTATAATTCGACGTATTTGTTACTGAGACTATTTTTATTATCATTATTTTACGCTTCCTCCATTTGAAGTGGTTCATAGGGCTTCAAAAACACAAGTTCACTTCATTCGGTTCTCGGAAGTCTCATTCAGCTGGCTATACGACTGCTCACAAGCTTTCATTTCCTCTTCAAATGATCACTTCATTTCATTTTTGAACGTCTAATTCCTCGCATCCCATTGGACTTCTATTCGACGGTCGGGCATGTGATGTCACTTAAATGTCTCCGCTATGTATGTCTTATCCACCTCCACCCCCCTTTTGTTAGGCATATTTGGTGGTATTATCCAGGGTAAAGCAATGAGGAAATATTGTTTGAATAAAGAAAGAACAAACGTATCTACGGGATAATACGAGCTCGTTTTATTTCGTCGATTCTCTTCAACTGCGAACATCTTAAACAAAATCAAATTACAGGTTACAAAATTTCTGAACATACTACTCTTCACAGTGACTTCGAGTTATAGATAGAAAGTATGAGCAATACAATTCCAGAAATGATGTAAGTAGATGTAATATTCAGTGTTAAAAGACTAACTGTCCATAGTAATCATTTTCTCCTATTGCGCAACACTCCACTTAATTTTGATTTCAACTTACTGAGTTGTACTCGCTATTCAGTTTCCAAATCTACTTAATTGTTTTTTTCTATGTTGTAATTTTGCTTTACTATTCACTGTCGCCTTCCTGAACTATCTATCATAATATGCATAAATCGACTCTTGTATTTTGTCTCTAGTCAATCCTTGTTTCTAAGCAAAATCTGTACTACAATCCTCTCTCGTCTAATTACACTATAAATGGTTAATCCTTTAACGCTGAATATCTTGTCTACTTACACCATTTCTGGAATTGTGTTGCTTATACTTTCTATCTATAACTCGAAGTCACTGTTTAAAAAGGGTGTTCAGAAATTATGTAACCTATAATTTGATTTTGTTTATGATGTTCGCAGTTTAATAGAATTGACGAAATAAAACGAGCTCGTATTATTCTGCTAATACGTTTGTTCTTTCTTTATTCAACTTAATAGAGGGAAACAGCTGGACGAATAAAACATTGTGATGTTCAGACTATTAGTTCTGAGAATGAATAACGATTGGTTTTATCAATTAAGTATGTTCTGTTGAACCTTCTTTTTAAACAGCTCTCTGATAAAATCCCACATTGTATCTTTTAGAGAAGCAAAAAGGCGGTTGCTTTAAAATTGATTATGGTGTTGGGCTTAAGATATACAACAACTAATGAATCTTTGTACTGAAAAAATGCAAGCACACTTATTTAACTAATTGGTTAGATATTATGAACATCATTACTCATTCCCATCTTAAAATCTTGTCAGTGCCAGCTTTGTTTAACTGTACATTGCAATACACCACCAAAATCTAAATCTTCCTTTCGTAATATACATACCAGATCGTTATAAAAAGCTTTTCAAAGCTAAATCTAATTCTTATACTGTAAAGGACTTGACTTGTTTTCAATTATTTGTTTTCATACTCTGCATTAAACTCCATCTTTTACCTTTATAAGATGAGAACGTCACGTACTACTGAAGTCAGAAACGTTACCAATGAGTTGCACGGGCTCACTGTTAACCTCCTTCGGGATTCTTATGTCTACATACAATGATCACCAGGGTGCTGAATAGTTCATTTACGACCTCACTGAATGACACAAGTTCAATGCTCTGAAGGGAAATCAATTCTTTCAAAGTTCTAGAAATGGGTCATATTGATGAGTTTCAATAAGCACCAAATCCAGGTCATGGGCTTCCATTCCGATCGCCTTTAACCATCTAACAATAACTTAAAAACTCTATCGTTATGGTAGATCTCCCAGATCCATCACGATATTATAAAATAACTGAAAGAATTCAGTCAGAACCCATGACCGATCAACATAACATTTAACATTTTTTTTAAATTTCCCTAACGTGTCAGCTATTCTTTTATATTTTATGTGCCTGAAAGAACATAACGAGTATTATGGTCTGTGGAAATGGTTGTAAAAATGAACAAATGGGTGCAGAGGGGATTCCATATCTTCACCAAGTGCTTACGCAATGGATAAGTAAGGTAAGGTGATGTATAACACCAAATCAACATTTTGTCAAAATGTACATAGCAGTATTCTTTTTCGTTTTATTATCATGGTGTTACTTATGCTGTAGCCAATTACTGTCGCAATAAAATTGGTCAATAAGTGTTTATAGGGGGAATCGGTTAAAAATTCACTCGTCGAACTGTGTACATTGGAAATCACCAACGTATTTGCAAATATTTTCAAGAGTTGGTTTGTAAGGATTAGATTTGTTTTTACGAGTTTGACCACGGATTGATATCAGTTAGAGAACCAGTGAAAACCAGCTAGGAGTACTGGACATCTGTTTCATCCTAGTTTGGGAATCATCGGCAGTACGCACCCACTGGAGTTCGAACCCAGGACCTTCTGGTTACAAAGCAAATAATTAATTTGATTTATAGTGTCACTCATTCACCCAAGTAGCTAAAAAGCGACTAGGTGTGGTGTGAACTGACTTTGCTCTATGACCTGTGTCAAACCGGGTACACTGCAGTTTAACTCGTCCCCAGACGAGCGAAATGGGCATCCGTCAAATAAAATAAGGTAAACTAACACTTGAGCACTAATAAAAGAAAGTTACCAGGCCCAGTAGTGTTTATCTGTTGTTTGTATAATCAGTTCTATTTTTAGCGTAAAAAAATTGATTGCACCGACATATTGCATTGATCGAAGAAAAAAAAATATCAGCTTTTTATGAATCTTGACTTTTCGACACTTGGAATGTCAACTGAATGACTAGTTCGACTTCTATGCGTTCTCAGTGGGAACATTGGGTTCAAACTTCCAGCTTTCGAATTTCCGACAGCAGTGGTGTTATGTTTTTATGGGATGGAGTTACTAGCCAAACTCCCATTCAGCCTTCCCTCTTACTACCGGCTAAGCGAGTTTTTGTAGTGCTCCGGCAGGTGGCATGCACTCTAAGGCTGAACCGCCGTCAAAAACTTCAAGCTATGATAAAAATAAATCAGAAAAACAAAAACTCTACCTAAAGTGTATCACTCAAAGGAACGCAAGTTTTAGGCGATATAGCAGGAAATATCTATAGTCATAGATACAATTCAATTTTTCTAGTTTAGGTATTATGAAAAGATTATATGATCATGGATAGTCTTCACAATGTGTTGCAAAAGGTGAAAATCTAGCTGTATCACCCTGTTTCATATGTCGATTGTCTGATCAATTAGGAGCATAATTTCAAATTCTGAAATTTAAACATTTAAACTAAACATACTGAAACTGCTTCCAAGGATATACTTTATTTTCCTTACTAGTTTAATGCACCACAGTTCATAAATATTTTGTGATAAAAATAACACTTACGGACTTGCTAACTGGTTTAGACAAGGAACTTTTCACACAACTGCAGCATTTCTAGTCGCCACACTCCATGTACCAAACAAAAGAGGGGAAAAACGTTAATAACCAGAGATTTATGAGGAAAGATTTCTACAGGCAACTACAAACAGTAATGGACAACGTTCCAAATGGCGATATCAGAATCCTGATGGGTGATATGAATGCGAAACTGGGAGGAGACAATACAGGAAGAGAACTCACCATGGGTCGTGAAGCCCTCGGTGAAATGAACGAAAATGGTGAACTCTCCTCAGACTTCTGCGCCTTCAATGATTTGGTGATTGGTGGCAGTGTGTTCAAACACAGGGATATACACAAGGCGACATGGATCTCACCAGATGGACATACCAAAAACCAGATAGACATCTCAAGGAAATGGAGACGGAGCCTACTGGACACAAGATCGAGGAGAGGAGCAGATGTAGGTTCAGACCAATATCAAGTACAAGGGACTTTCGAGGTGAAGCTAAAAGCCTCGAGGATAACTATGGATAGGCCACAGTGCAAGTTCAACACTCAAAAACTGAAGGACACAACCACAAAGGACACTTTCACTGCAACTGTCAGAGCAAAGCAGGAAACACTACGTGGCATCACTGAGGAATCATGCGTGGAAAACTATTGAAACTCTCTGATTCTACGACAATCTGGCCACTGAAGCTGAGAAGGCAGCAGGCAAAAGGGACATGAGAACACTATATCAGATAACCAAGTCTCTATCCGGGAAGAGATCAACACAAGTGAAATCTATAAAAGAGGTTACTTCATTCACTTATCTAGGGAGCATTGTCTCAACTACAGGAGGAACGGACGAGGACGTCAAATCGAGAATCGGGAAGGCGAGAAACACATTCATCAACCTGAAACCAATCTGGAAATCTTCGTCACTCAACCCAGCATCAACAACAAAGTGATTCGGATTTTCAATACAAACGTCAAGTCAGTTTTGCTATACGGATCAGAAACTTGGCGGGTCACCAAAAATATTTTCAACAGGTTGCAGACCTTTATCAACAACTGTCTTCGCTCCATACTGAAGATTAGATGGCCGAAAAGAATCACAAACAAGAAACTATGGGAACAAACAAAACAAGAACCAATCGCTCAACAAATATGCAGGAGAAAGTGGAGATGGATTGGACACTCGCTGAGGAGGCAGTTGGGTGACATCGCACGTCAGGCCATAGCTCGAGTGGAACCCGAAAGGGAAGCGGTGAGTGGGACGTCCAAGTTTGACATGGAGGAGATTGTGTGAAGAGGAGTTGAAACAGTATGGAATAACATGGATGCAAGTGAAAAGTACAGCAGAAGACAGAAGCAAGTGGAGACGTGCAGTTGAAGCCCTATGTTGCACTAGGAACCCAAGGGAAAAATAATAATACGAGGAAAGAACAGTCACATTGAAAAACAATAGGGTTTTATGAATGCGACAGTTGACAAAGAGTGAATGCATGCACAACATGTGTCCTAGCCGTCTCAGTCAATTCACATCCAAAACTTCATCTATCGATTTACCCTCCTTGGCTAACACTCGACGCTTAACCTCAGTATTACTCATCCTGTTACATCACCTAACATGAGAGATAGAACGTAGATACCTATGATCAAAGATCGCTAGCATTTTCATGCCTTATCCTTTCAATGACCATGCACTAAAGCCATAAGGAAGGAGGAGGGAGCGAACTACTGAGCAGTAGCCACATCATTTGATCGGTAACCAGATATGGTGTCTACGCCAGAGATGGCCTAAATTGGGAAATGCCACACCAACCTTTTATATCCGTACTAAAATTTGGTTGGCAATCAGCCTGTTATGGCTGATGCAACTGATAATATTCAAGGGTATTCGATGTTAACTTAGAGTTTGAGAAGTTGTAAAAACATCTACAGTACTTCTCGTCTGGTAATGCTAATTTAAAGATTATCAGCTGTAATATCGATCAAATAAGGTGGATTCAGTAAAGTTTCCAACTTTAGATTTGTTTCTGTAACTTCAACACTACAAGAAGAATTTGAGTTGGTACAAGGAAATAGAAACATCTCGTTGACGAATTCTAACAAATTCGAAAACATAATGAAGGGCTTCTATTAAAATAACATCAAATATATGGAAACTAAAACAACGATTACTATAAACCCATGTCAAGTGACTAACTGGCAAAATTTCTAGCTTGATCAACTATGCAGAGGAATCAGAATTTGATGGGGACATCTGTCATCATATACATATATATATATATATATATATATATATATATGGTAGAGATTTGAAGTGCAGATGTCATTATTAATTTAAGATCACAAAGAAAAAGTTAGCTTGGTTTATTTGTCTTCACCACGTTCACTCCTTCCCCCCTAATTGGAATGTTAAGTTGCGTCATCCTGAGGAGAATAAAAGATCCACTGAATGTACAGCTCCAGCTGGAACAAGCTAGTTTTCAGAAAAGCAAGTCATGTGCGTATCAAACTGTAACTCTACGCATTATCGTTGACCATAGAATAGGATGGCAGCCAAATTTCTATCACTACTTCATCTGCTCTGAGAAGGCCACAGATAGCGTTGACCGTGATCCAAAACGGAAAACTCAGCGAATCCCCTGAAGTAGATGTAGGAGCGAGATAAGACTGCCTACTATCACTGATGAACCACCAATAAGAAAACTCTAGAAGATCTGGATTTTGTGGTTGAATTATGTCTCATTTCACACAAACTCGAAGGCATACAGGTGAAAACCAACAAAGTGACTGAAGAGTCAGGCAGCAAACACAGGACTCCAGGTGAACATAGAGAAGACGGAGGTGATGAAGATAACCAATAACAACAGCCAGCACCAATCACCATCAACGGGAAAAATTTGAAAGAGATTAGATCCTCCGCTTATCTAGGAAGCACCGTTTCAACTATGAGCGATAACGGGAATGAAAATGTCAAAATCAGAGGGGATTAGGAAGGCAAGACAGAACTTCATCACTCTGAAATCAATTTGGAAATCTTCTGCTCTCGAGTAGAACTCGAATGGGAAACGACAAGTTGGGCGTGTGTCCCAGGGTGATAAGGAGGAGACCTTGTGAGGAGGAGATGAAAGCCCATTGGTAGTCGAATAGCCGGATAAAGAGGACTGCATAGAACAGAGACATTTGGAGATGTTCTGTTGAAGCCTTATGTTCGACTCAGAACCCAGGGGAATAATAACAGTAATTTTAATAACACAATCTTGACTCGACCATTTATGGATCATTAGATTCACGTCAACTAAATACACGGTAAACTGAACATTTTGAATTATTTGCCTAAGAAATTTAGGAGAATATATTCTTTTAAAAGTGTAGTCAATGAATACTGCAAACATTTAATTACCTTAAGTTTCATTTAATCCTTTTTAACTTGTTTTTCAGCTTTTTGTCGGATATGTGAATACTGTGGCTTTATTATTCTTTTGGGATCAGTTATTTCTTAATACATTCAATTCTGATGTCATTATTGAATTCGCTCAAACCCTCTTGTTATTACTTGGTTCAAATATTTTACAAATGAATAATAATGATGAGATAGAAAATGTAAGTCATAGCTAGAAATTAGTTGAAAATTAGTAGTAGTTAGTTGCTAATATGAATGTTTTGAATATTTCATCATAACAGTTTGACATTTTTTCCATCCATTAAACCGGTTGTTTACTGAGAGTACCTTATTCATGGTTATATCGGGTAAAAAAGTACCTCTTATCGAATCTTTTGTAATTAAGCGAATAAATGCAAAGTACACTTTACTTTACTCACTAATGAAGAATAGTAGTCACTTACCTGTTGCACAAGGAGTGGTCTTTGTGAACCAAGTGGTCTGGTGGATGATGACGCTTTAGCGTTTGAAGCAATGAGCATCGGGTTCGAGTCTTAGTGGGAACAATACTACGCATTGGGAATGCAGTTATATTCAGCTGACGAGTCTCAAGCAGGACGGAATACACCTCATTCATTCCACTGCTAGTCCCCATCTACCAAGTGATACATAATTGATGACAAATCTGACCATTATTCAGAATTTATGTTATTTGCAAGAATTAGCTGCAGTGATACTACATACGTAAGTATAAGAGGTTATAAAAACAGAAAACAATAATAAAATGTTTTGCCGATGCTGAAACAAGGGTAACTCTGTATGACAGTGTTGCATGTCATGATCCACAAAGAAAAACTCAAAGAAGTCTTTGAAGTGAAGACAGGAGTAAGACAAGACTGTCAACTACCACTGATGATATTACTGGTTTTTGTGGTCTGGAACATGTGAAAGATAACAGGGGGCGAGAAAACAGGAATACGTTGGACCGATAAGATGACTACAAAAGATGTGGACTTCTTGAACGATATGTGTCTAATGTCACACAAACTCGAAAACTTACTGGTGAAAACCAATAAGTTGTCAGAAGAAGCAGGGAAATCAGGACCTCAAGGGAACATAAAAAAGATGGAGGTGATGTAGATAACCAACCATCTTCAACAACAACAACCAATCACTGTCAACGGCAGAAATTTGAAAGAGGTCTTTGCATTCACCAGGCAGCATCGTTTCAACTACAGGTGACAGCATGGAAGATGATGTCAGAGCTAGAATGTGGAAAGTAAGGTGCAAGTCAGAAACTTGACATTCCACGGAAAGCGTCTCCAAAAGGCTTCAGTCTTTTCAAGTGTTGTTTTGTAGGGATTTCATTAGTTACAGGATTTCATCATGAGCTGACATTAGTCAGAGAACCACACTTGAATATCAATAAGATGCTCACTAGCGACTTACCCTATTCATGTAGGTAGTTATTTGGGGTTCCAGTGAGAAGTCGTGACCACTAGAGTACAGCAGGTCGGGTGTGAGGACAAATACTCGCCGAAGACATTGGCTAGGGGTCGCGCTTTGTCGTGAATTGGCAGAAGAACGAATTCATGGGCCATTGGATCGGGTCTCAGTGGCTTAATGGTATAAGAGCTCGCCTTGTAACCAGAAGGTTCGAACCACGCAGTGCGGGTGCGTACTGATGAAGAGTCCTAAACTAGGACGAAACATCTGTCTGGTGCTTAAGTCGTTTACCTACATCTGCCTTCGCTCCCTAATGAAGATCATATGACCAATCAGAAAGAATTAGCAACAAGATATTCTGGGAAGGAACCAATCAAGAACTTACTGCTCAAAATTTACGCCGAGGAAAATGAAGATGGATCAGCAAAACTCTCAGGAAACCTGTGGGTAAAACTGAGCTCAATTCAAGTCCGTAAGTGTTAGCCGAATAGGTGACGACGAAATGGATGTGCGTCTGAGGTTGATTTGGAGGAGATTATGTGAAGAGAGGACGAGAGCTTATGGTTAGTCATAGCGTCAGTTGAAGAGGACTGTTGAGAACAGGACAAAGTGAAGATATCCACTTGGTGGATCCTAGGGAAATAATCATAATAACCTAGGGATATTGGGAATTTTTGTTGACTAACTTTTGAAACACGAAACATATACCGTCACAACTACTGAAATTAGCATAAATTTTCCTCGTTTACTAAAAACAGATGGTTATTATGTATATACGACCAATCTGATTTCATTTATTTTTGTTCCATAGCTACTTAGATTTGGACCAAACAAACTGCTTACTTTAGATATCATTCGAACATGGAATATGATTCATTTAAACAAAACTATTGATGATAAATATTGTGAATTAAATAGAATTACAGGAAGTCTGATGTAAGTTGTTTAACTGCATTAATTAATGCTGAGCCTATTTAACAGTGTCATCAATTTATCTTTGTCTGTTGACACATTAACAAGGTGCCACTTTACAGAATGCATTTCGAATAGTTTTTATCCTTCCTATTACTCATACAATATATCAGTTATATTTTCTTTACCACTGGTATCGTGCAGAAAGTGTGTATAGTCTTAACATGAATGAAGGTTATTGCATGGTATGAATCGACGGTTTTCTGGTACAGAGTTCATACCTCAATCAGATGAGCAATGGTAAAAAAAAGTGCTTTTATGAGTATCAATTTCTCATGATATACAGTTGATTTTGTCTTCTGCTGTGTGGATGAGTGAAGAGAAACCTTTCATTGATGATTGCATGATTTGGTCGGTCATTTAGACATTCATTCCATAAGAAATTTCAATGTACCTAAAGTACAAAGGAAGTGGACTGGTTGTCTGCTGACCTCAATATCCTACTAAATGATTGTAATTTAGCGGAAAAGAGAACTGGGACGACATTTAAAAGAAGTATCACAGTATAGTTATGAATACAGTCATTCATTCATTTATGACAAAATATTTTCACTTGTTGTACAATTTCCCTGCTTTTCCGTCCCCTTCTATCAACCGGTACTTTCTACAAACGATGAATATCAGTTCTTGAGCATGCTGATGTTTATGTGTCACTAAAATGACACATCGATCAATCTCTGTGTTAGTGAAACTCAAATAACGAATAACAGTGAATTCATTTGCCTTTATTTATAAAAATCAAAACAAATGATTCAGCGAAGAGACTCTTTTCAACGAATTTATCATCAAGCTGTACAATCGTATACATATATGGATTTTTAAGAAGTTATATCCGGTGAGGGAATTGAATCATAGGTGTGAATGCATAAAATAATAATAATATGAAATGCAGAAAATACAGAAAAGCCAGATCTCTGTGTACAGAAAAAGTTCGTTCAACCCCTCCAACTTTCATGGTCTTAATCCTTCTATGCTAAAGTATGGTAATCCCCAATCATATTTTAGCTCTACCAATTTTTCATTTTTCATTTTTGTCTATTCAATTTGTATACTCTTCCTTATTACGTCAATTGTTACTATTACTACTCTCACTTTTAATTGTCCCCGGTTGTATATCACTTGTTCCACTTGTCATTCTAAATCAATTCTATTTTACAACATTGAATTCTATGCTACTAAATTTCACACAATATTACGTAACTTTATTCCGATTTTTATTAATTCAAAATAAAAATCCGAATAAATCTGCTGAAGAAGCTGTGGTTTACACAGCGAAACGTTCAGAAAAATCTTGTTTTGATTTTCTTAACACGCTGGGATTCATTTGAATAATTTATAATGAATATTACGTAACGTTTTTATTTTATTCGATTTGTCTACTAATCATATAATTGCACACCCTTTTTCAAGTTCTATCCATCCTATGAATTATTCTATATATTTGGAAAACACAAAACACTGAGCGAAGAAATATTTACTTTTCGATTAGATCCTCTTCTCTGGCTCTACTCTAATATATATAGCATTTTTACAATACACAACAATTTACCAAACAAGTGTTGATATGTTTGTTAACAATATTTAAACAGTGTCAAAATGTCAATGGGTAGATAATTAACGCAGGAAATCAATACACATTTAAAAAGTAGGAATGGATAGAATGAATTAATTTTACAAGAATAACACGTAATTAAAGATGAAGTGGTCAAAATAAAAATAAAATAATTTGGACAATTATAATTTAATAGGGGGAGGGGGGCGACGTAGTCCTGTCTTGTAACGATGGCCACGGTAAGCAAAGTGGCTGTACAAATTTCTTCTGTACACATAGGCTTGGTTTCTTCTGGTGGATTCCAATTGCTTCTGCTGTCTGTAGAAGACGAACTCTTAGAGCAAAGTTGAGATTAGTCGGAACGCGATAAATAATTTTGAATGCAGTATTCACATCAACCTTGTGCTCAGTATCAACAAGGTGTGCTAAAATAGAACTACGAATAGATCTTGTTTGTCCCTTGCTTAACCACGCTGGATGATGTTCAGAAATACGACGATGAAACTGCCTAATTGTACGCCCAATGTTGCTGGCTCCGCAGCTGCAGTCAAACTGGTAGACACACATAGAAGAGGCAAAATTAGGTAGTTTGTCCTTATTTCTCGAACATAGAATAGGGGTGGTTTTGAAGAGACAACGTACTTCTGCTGCATAATAAGCTCTTTTAACTGCATTCTTCAAGCGCTGTGTTATGATTTCACTGATGTTGTCACCGAGGAATTGCAATTTTATGAACATTGGCTTTTTCGAAACTGTAGCAATACTGACTCTCTTTGGTGCTGAATTCATATTCTTCTCAATAAATTTATCTGGATAACCATTTTTTCTAAGTAATTTTTTAATAATCTTAAGCTCCTCATTGAGGCAGTCGTCTTAACATATTAATTTAGCTCTATGAACCAGACACTTTACCAGGTTACGTTTATATTTCAAAGGTACAAAACTCAAAAAATGGGTGTACTGACCTGTTGCTGTAGGTTTCCTATACACACTCCTTCTTAGTGTGCCATCATCTTTCCTTGCCATGAAGACGTCTAGGAATGAGATACTATCATTACTTTCTTTCTCTATGGTAAAGTTTATTGCTGAATGTGCATCATTAAACTTGTCAAGGATATTCATTGCATCATTCTCGTCTTTCATAACCACAAATGTGTCATCCATATATCGACAGTAGAAATCCATGTCACTAATTACTCCTTTCAGTGGTCCATTCTCTAATTTAGCGAGGAAAAAATCAGCTAGGATTGGACCTAATGGGGAACCCATAGCTACACCATCAATTTGCCTGTAATATTCCTTATTGAATAAGAAATGAACATTCATTGTACATCTTAAAATAAGTTCCTTCAAGGTGGATATAGAAATCCCGATGTCTATGTTTCGTGTGGTAATCTCCTCACATATAAAATCCACTGTCTCCATTAACGGTACATTGGTGAACAAGGAGGATACATCAAAAGATATCATAAACTTGTCCCTCACATTAAAATCTCTTATTTTGTCAACAAATTCAAAACTGCCATTTACGCTATGTTTTACCAATTCATTATGCAGAGGCTTTAGCAGCTTCACTAGCCATTTTGCTGTTGCATGATATGGGGAATTACACATGTCCAACACTGTGTGTGTATTGTAAAAATGCTATATATATTAGAGTAGAGCCAGAGAAGAGGATCTAATCGAAAAGTAAATATTTCTTCGCTCAGTGTTTTGTGTTTTCCAAATGTTAACCAATGACGGTGATTTTGGGAATCAAATAATAATCTTAATAGTCTTAATAATAATAATAATAATAATAATAATAATAATAATGTGGTTAATGTTATGAACATAGTTAATAACGATGATTATAATGATAACAAAATATTGATAATAAGGTTTATGCAGGTGATAAGAATAACAAAGATAGTATATGTATATAAGTGTCTAAATAAATTGGGTCATATCTTAAAAAGGTGAAGTGGAACGATAATCAGAGTTTAAATAAATATTATAAAAGTACAAAGGAGGTGGAAAATAAGAAAGGGTGGGAGGGTTTTTGAATACAGTTCACCTAGGCCAAGGGAGAGACAAAGGTAGAACAAACTTCTTTTGTATGCAAAGACTAGGATTGTTCTCTCGAATTCCCATAGCTTCGGCTAAGTGTAAAAGACGGTTTCTGATTCCATTCGAAAGACTCGATGGAATACGATAGATAACTTTGAAAGCACTATTTTTGTCCACTTGGTGACCACTTGGTGAACAAACGCATTAATGAGCATCTTCCTTCATGGTTCGGAAAAGGTCAAATAAAATCCATACGAAGTTCTATTTTGGCTCATTTGATTGATAGCGGTCACCAAGTGGACAAAAATAGTGCTTTCAAAGTTATCTATCGTATTCCATCGAGTCTTTCGAATGGAATCAGAAACCGTCTTTTACACTTAGCCGAAGCTATGGGAATTCGAGAGAACAATCCTAGTCTTTGCATACAAAAGAAGTTTGTTCTACCTTTGTCTCTCCCTTGGCCTAGGTGAACTGTATTCAAAAACCCTCCCACCCTTTCTTATTTTCCACCTCCTTTGTACTTTTATAATATTTATTTAAACTCTGATTATCGTTCCACTTCACCTTTTTAAGATATGACCCAATTTATTTAGACACTTATATACATATACTATCTTTGTTATTCTTATCACCTGCATAAACCTTATTATCAATATTTTGTTATCATTATAATCATCGTTATTAACTATGTTCATAACATTTACCACATTATTATTATTATTATTATTATTATTATTATTATTATTATTAAGACTATTAAGATTATTATTTGATTCCCAAAATCACCGTCATTGGTTAAAATTTTATATATAAATCTATGTAAATTAGAGTAAAGCCTGAAGAAGATCTAATTGAAAACAATATTGTTCGCTTATATGTCTTGTTCTAATATTATAAATGGGAATATTTAAAGATTTTCCAAATGTCTAAATGGGGATATTTTCTATATTCTACATATGACATTAATTTGCTCTGCCACTTGACATTTACCTATGATTATAATCACAAACATTTTAGTTTTAATTGCATTTCATATTATTATTGTTATTACTATTATTATTATTTTATGCATTCACACCTATGATTCAATTCCCTCACCGGATATAACTTCTTAAAAATCCATATATGTATACGATTGTACAGCTTGATGATAAATTCGTTGAAAAGAGTCTCTTCGCTGAATCATTTGTTTTGATTTTCTATGTTACAATGGGAATTTTCCATGATTTATTTTTAAAGTTTGAAAATTTAAACCTCCAAAAGAACTGTCGACCTTAACGAAATTAATTCACTCCTTTATTATTATTATTATTATTGCTCTCTCGGGTTCCAAGTGGAGCATAGGGCTTCGGCAACACATCTT